TTCATTCTTTCTGAAACACAGTTCTGTCATTTGCAAAATGAAGACAGAAATTCTTCACTCCACAGTTGGTTTAGTGTTTTCTCAAACCTAGAAGACTGTATACACACGATGGTTTGGCTTTCTATTGTTGCTGCAATATTCTATTAGCAGCAGTAGTACCATCACAGTGACCTCCAGAATAGGAAGATACATTAATAACCGTTTCTTCTTTGTTAGTGATCCCAGAAACTTTCTATCTCCTTGTGTGATCTAGAAGCAAATCTGAGCAAGAGTTTATTATGATTTCAAGGCTCATTTTTTGCAAGTACAAGAATAGCACTGTGTTGCCTAGACACTTAAAATATAGTATGAGATTTGGCAAAAAGCATGAATGTCAATCCTAAATGAATTTCAAACAAAACAATCATATCTGAGATTAATATGGTGTTCTTTCCATTAGAGAAACTTATTCAAGTATAGACTGGATACCAAGCTTCATTCACTATTTCTTCTCACATCTTTTTTACAAATTTGCACTTTCTTCCTCCTTCCCTCTATCCTTCATGCTTCTTTTGCACATCCCTCCCTTCCTTCCCTTCCTCCAGCTCTCCCTGCCTCCATCCTTCCTTCTTTCCTTCCTTTCCTCCTTCACTACTTACTGAAGGACTTCTAGGTGCCAGACACTTAGCATAGGAATGCAAAATCAACAAATCATACAAGTCCCGTTCTTTCATGGACCTTGCACTCTAGCATAATAATTAACTTATAATATATAAACAAGTCAATAAACAAGATAACACTAATTGTATAAGCTCAAAGAAGAACATACAGAACAAATGGCCTATTTCTCTGTGCTCTTAAGCTGATAACTGAAACAATAGAAGAAGCTCTCTCTGATATGGCAACAGAAAATAATTCCATGAGGTGAAATATAACAAGCAAGGGGAGAGCAGAATTTATTTGTTCCAAATTCCAGAGTTCTGTTTTTAGTATCCTGGCAAGGAAAAAATAAGATACATCCAAGATTTATTGTCTCATGCTCTGGTTTATTTTCTGTTATTGAAAATATGATAGCATCAAAGATGAGCTGACAGTGGTCAATGGGCAATCTTCTTTATTAAGAGTATGAATGTGACTGGCTTACGTAACTTGGTGAGGGAGTGTTCACTGTCTCAATATTGATCATTTTAGCTACAGATTTGACCTTTGCCAGTATGCCAGAATCCTGGTGTAAGAAGGAACTGAAGGATGGTCCCAAATCCTTCAGTGGTGATGTGTCATGGTATTCAGCTAACATTTTCCGACCCATTTGTGCTGGGTCACTTCCTGAAGTAATGCATAGAACCATCAGGAAAAGAACCATCTGGTAAGACACTCCTAGAGGTATGCAGGTCTTATGTAATGAGTCTCCATTCATCCCTGACATTTTCTTTCTTTTACTAGAATTTGGATTCTTGGGTCAAGATTAGTAGCCATTCTTAATGTTTTTGATACATAGCATGCATTTTTAAAATCAATGTACCTATTAATATTTCTACTCTCAGTTTACTCACCAAGTACTTACTATTCCTGTGTATTACTTTTTAACATCACATTTGCTAAACTTATAGAATTAAAAGTTTTTATATATATATGTGTATATATACATGTACATATGCATGTGTGTATATGTACATGCATACATGCATATACATATGTGTATATGTGTGTATACACATATGCACACACACACATATTTACACACACACACACATTGTAGAGGTGCAGAATTCTATCCCTTGGATTTTCCTGCCAAAGGATTAATTTAAGGATTTCCAGGCAGTTAGCTGAGACCCTGTAGCTGAAGCAACTTTAGGATTAACCTCAGGATCCAAGCTGAGACCCTGCTCTTCCCAGGCACATCCCAGCCAATGACTTAGGAAGTTAACTTTATTAAAGCCTAGCCATTTACGTGCAACATGGGACTCCTTTTAAGAGTAATCTTTGCTCCAGGGATCCCACTGATTTGGCCAAGATGTTGTCAGATTTACATTGCCTTATACTACTTTTCTCTTATTTCATTGCATGGGTAAAAGATCTACATTTGATGTGAGCAAATTCCATGCCCAAGTAGACTTCATATCTCTCTTATTTTTCACAGTCGTAAACCTCTAATAAGCCATTGACACTCATATCTCTGTCTCAGCATTCTATTTTCCAAAGGACCCAATTAATACACATTTCTGGTCACCAGAAAGGGTATTTGCTTTGCATATGCTTACAGAATTTAAGCTCCAGATGCTCATGGCCACGGCCTCTTTCTTCTTATTTTTCTAATAGAAAAAAATGTTAAACAGTGTCCTTAATCTATTTCTGCATAGCTCGTATATCCTCCTTTAAAACACACACACACACACACTCGTATCAGTCTCCATTTTTTTTTTTTTGAGACAGAGTTTCGCTCTTGTTACCCAGAATGGAGTGCAATGGCGTGATCTCGGCTCACCGCAACCTCCGCCTCCTGGGTTCAGGTGATTTTCCTGCCTCAGCCTCCCGAGTAGCTGGTAGCTGGGATTACAGGCACGCGCCACCATGCCCAGCTAATTTTTTGTATTTTTTTTTTTAGTAGAGACGGGGTTTCACCATGTTGAACAGGATGGTCTCTATCTCCTGACCTCGTGATCCACCCGCCTCGGCCCCCCAAAGTGCTGGGATTACAGGCGTGAGCCACCGCACCCGGCCCTCCATTTTTTTTTTTTAAAGAGAAGTCCTCAAAAATAGAGTCTAATTTAGATTCTTGGGGACAACTAAAAGTTTCTGCTTTCATATGAACACTCTTAAGCATAGTTTTGCAGACCTTTACCCAAAAATGTTTACATTCCACTCATACATATTTCTGTTTCATCTAAAGAATTTAGCATGACTCTTATTAATTATTTAGTTTAGCTTCATTTTTACTTGCATTGTGTCTGCTTTACCTAAAAACCTCAACTTCATTCACCCAACATTTATTAAACTATTATGTGAATTCTTCAAGTATCATTTCTCTCCATTTCATTATCCACTATAGTGCCAAATAAACTTTCTAAAATAAAAATCAGATAATTTGATATCTGTCAGATTGGGAGTAATAAAACTAAAATGAGCTTGTGTTGATATAGATACCCATTATGCTGAGTAGACATGTAAATATGAAATGTTGACTACAGTTAATTAAACAAATGAAACTTAACTTTCACTGAAACTTAAAATTGGCCAAATCCTCTCACTTAATAGGAAGCTTTTATCATCTATACCTCACAGTAATTTATTCTTTAGAAACAAATTATTTAAATCACATTGCCATGCTACCTTTATGTATGTGAAAAAAAAAATCTGTCTTTTGAAATGGATTGTGAGATACTTGCAGACTCAGATTAGCCTTTGTGATGTTTTCTCCCTATATTTAATTCAGTGCCTGGCACATAGTGAATGTTCAATAAGTATTTCCTGGATTAATGTCTATTTTGCACTGAGAATAGTGAACAAAAAGACCCAAGTGAACAAACAGCTAAGAAGAGAACATTACTCAAGTCCACTTTGGCATCTAACACGCTTCTGTCTTACAGAAGATCCTGTGGCACAGTTATTACCTATAAAACTGAATTTCAAAAAAATTTGACATTTGCTTTGAAATTAAGGACCAGGATGTGAGTCCCACCTCTGCTATGAACCCTGCCACTGTAACTTCGCCCAAGTTATAGGACATCTCAAACCTAGAGCCAGCCACCTGCCCTGCCACTTCAGGATCCTCGAGGGACCCAAATGAGGAAAGTTTAGAACAGACTTCCTTCTTGGCTGAGGAAGGATATATGTAATTATATCCCTAATTAATGCATTTTACAAGAGTTGTTTCCTGTTTCCAAATCTAAATTCAATTTTACACCCTGACCTATTTATATATAAATGTACTTTTTCTCAATATTAAATGCATTAAGATTCTGCCCTTTGAATTTAAAAGAAAAAAGCAAAGATAGGCTTTAAATTTTTAATGTAATTAATAATTGAATTAATGATGTCATGGAATTTTATTTCAATCATGCTGAAAATTCATGAATCAAATGTATGATAATATATGTGTACATGCCTGTATATTGAATTTTTCTATTTCGAAACTTACAGACAGTACCACTGGATATAGAAGAAAACATACAAAAAAAGATATTTTTTAACAATAATCATTTTTAATAATAGTTTTAAATGTGCTGTAACAAAACTTCACAGGATTTACAACAGTCAGATAAAATATATTTGATCTCTTAATATACTGTTAAACAATTAAAAGCACATATCTTCATTTATAACAACTATTTTTATAAAGCTACTTTTAAAGTTGGGTTTAAAAAGCCTGTTTGTTTGTTTGTTAGATAACTTACTTCATGGCTTATAAGATCTCTACCACCAGATCACATGGTACTAGCTGGATTTAATATTGACCATAATCATACCTTCCTAAGAGCTCTAATGGATGGATAGCGGTATTGTGTTTTACAATGAGGAATCTAGTAGCAAATGTAGTAATGTCTAAAGTGCACTGAAATATAACCACGTGTCATGCACTGTGTGTTTAATATTTATTTCATCTAATCTTCATCACAATACTACGTGGTAGGTCCCATACCCATTTTATAGATGTGTAAATTGGAACTTTAAATACTTTTCAAGCATCGCACAGCCAGTAAGTAACTGAATTTTTACCTAAATCTAATATTTAAGTTTGTCTGATGCATAACCACATGCTTCCCTTTATTCCAGGATGAAAAATGGTGTCAGGCCGTGTGTTAAACAGGTGATGTGCTGCAAAGGCTCTGTGATTCGTTGCAATCAGCATCAAAATGATTGTAGGGCTCACCACGTACCTCACATTGCATATTCGAATATTGTTGATGCAGGCAGTGAAATATTTAAATATAATATTTCATAATTCAAAATCCAAATCCCAAGGCAACTGTTTCCCTGAAGCAAAAACATGGGGAAAAGAATTTGAAATTTAGGCCACAAACCTGTTTCAGGCTCAATGGAAAAATAAGGCTGCCCTTCCAATATACTATAAACCAACTTTGCACTGTTTCCGTAAACTGGGTCATCAGCGTCGGTTGCTGTTACGTTAGTGACAGACGTACCTAATAAAAAAGAGAAAGAAAAAATATAATAATTAACACATTGTTCTGGGCCAAGAGCTAAATTTTGTCAAGTATTTTGTACAGAAATCCATGTGTAGGGAATAATAGGAAAATAAATCTTTTTAAAAAGGTGAAGATAAAGTGCTCTGTCATAACTTCAACTATATCTAAGTCTTTTAAAATAAAGAGTCCTGGAGTACTGTAAAAAAATACTTTTAGTATCTGTATTATTTAAGATTCCTTTATAGTTTACATTTTAAAGAGAAGTATAAGATGCATGTGGGCCTGGAGAATATGCAAAAGAATCCTAACAAAGAAACACGAAATGTAAGGTTACTAATATAATATACCATGTCACATTTACATCTTACAAAAGCACAACTAAATGAATTTGGAAAAACTGGCTGCTGAAGGAAAGTCTAGAGAAATATCAAAAGAATATTTTATGCCATTTTACTTAATTCTTCACAACATAAAATTAGGTCCGAATCACCAATTAATCGTCTTGCTTACATAATTAGGAATGATGGATAACAGAATCAAAACCTTTTTTTTCAAATTTATTTTTCATTATCTCATTCATTCAACAATTGAGTATATACAGCTTGCCTGTTATGGAGTATATATAGTAAAATATAGGGGAATTTTAATGCCAAGATGGAAAGCGTTTGCTTTACCCTGCAGGAAATAGGGAAGAAATTTTAGTTAAAGAGCATACCTATAACTATACCTTTTGGATTTAAAGAGCAACCAAATCTCTATAGATTTTGGTACCATTTAATAAAATGACTTTCACCTGCCTCCTCAAGTATATTGTTGGCAGACATGTAGGTAATCAAACACACACACATACACACACACACACACACACGACAACAAATCTTTACAGTCAAGAAGCTCACAGTGGAATAAGAAGAGGAAGGGGCAGACAAATAGAAAAAGAAATTCAGCTGAATGCAGTAGCACCAACTATGGATCCCTCACTTAGTCCAGCACAGACATGGTGATCAGGAACATTTTTCTAAGAGAGGTTGCTTTTCAGTTAAATCATCAAAAAAAAGATAGAGTTTAACCAGGAGAAGGGCATGGAAGGAATTCCAACAAGAAGATAAACATAAGTAAAGGCAAAGACTTGTGAGAGAATATGGAAATTACTGGGCATCCCTGAAAATGGAGAGAAATTGAAAAAATGTGGTGTAGTAACAAGAATCACATGTAGTGAGGGCAGGACCAATGTCTTCATTCAGCAAGTGCTGGAAATATAATAGTTATTGAACATACATTTACTCATTGAATAAATAGGTGAGTGAATAAGGTACCTGATGATTTAAAGAGAAACAGCAGGTAGGTGTTACAGATTAGCTTCCTTGGAAGTAGACTCTGAGATAAAGATTTCCTGCTACAATTTCAATAGAGAGTGTTTTTAACCAGTATCTATGGGGGACTGAAAGGGACAGATTTGGACAGAAGCATCTGGGATGTGATGCAGAGACAACAAAGGCCTCACTGGACCCCATAGGTCTCTAGAGATGGAATGCCCACAGAGGAAATGTGCCAGGCTTTTATATCCCAGCAGTAAATAGCTATAGCATCAAGATGCCCCTGAGAATGGAGCCTTGGTCTTGGTCCAAGCAGATCCTTTCAGAGGAGGACAACTACAAAATGGTGGCACGAAGTACCGGCATTTAGCAGTCAGCGATTAGCATGCTCAGAAACCGGGGGGAAGAACAGCATATCTCAATGTTCCCTGAAATAGGGTAGAACTTTAGCAAGAGCTTGTCCCTCAATATCTTTTGGAAGTATTTTGAATTACAGTCACTATATGTGAAAAAGTAATAATATTTGTTGAGCAGTTGATAGTCCTGCAAAATTGGAATTTTTACTCAGAATGATGACTCAGAGATTCTACAAAATTTGTGGTTATAAAAAAATGCATTCAATGCCTCTTCTGTGACACATTCCACCAGATGCAAATAACTCATCAACTAGCTAGCAAAAACGAACACATGGGAGTATAATATTTGTAGCTATTTAAATATTATGTAAGATGCAGGAGAATTGGAAGTAAAACCTTCTAGATAAAAGGTAGATAGTGAGATAAAATTGCCAGAAAATATTTAGAAAGAGGGTGACGTGACAGAAAAAGTCTGTTGTCAAAGCTAAACCTGGATATTCAAGCTAAGAAGAAGATATACGGAAATTTTAATGCCAAGATGGGGAGCATTGGCTTACCCTGTAGGAAATAGGGAAGAAATTTCAGTTAAAGAGAAAACCCATATTGTAGGCCACTCTCTCTGTTAGGGCCTCCAGATTTAATTGGAAATAGAGACACAGATTAGAAGACCAGACTTCTTATGAGGTTACAACAATAGTTCAATTAAGAGAGAATACAACATTAACAACTGGGTAATGACAATAAAAGTGGATATCAATGTTAATTTCCTTGTTTTGATATTTTTGCTAAGATGTTAAGCTGAAGGTAAACTGAGTGAGGTGTTGCTATGGTTTGGATGTGTCCCCTCAACAATTCAGGTGTGACCATCATAACAATATAAGAGGTGGGGCCTTTAAGAGGTGATTGGGCCATGAGGGCACCTCCCTCACAAATGAGATTAGGTGCCTTTATGAAAGAGCTTAGCAGAGGGAGTTGTCTCTCTTGCCCTTCCACCTTTCATCATATGAGGACACAGTGTTTCTTCCCTCCAGATGAAACTAAGAAGGTCTTCACCACATGCTGTGCCTTGATTTTGGACTTCCCAGCCTCAAGAACTATGAAGAAATCACTTTTTTCTTTGTTATTTACCCAGTTTTAGGTATTTTGTTATAAGCAGCACAAGGTAGACTAAGACTGGGGTATGTAGTAACTATTTTTGCAACTTTTCTGTAAGTCCAAAATTAGTTTAAATATTAAAGAAAAAGAATGAATAACAAGGAAAAGACTCCAGAGTTACTGAAATAACTAACAGAGTTCAGAGACTGATGAGAAAGAGGTCTCTTTCAAGCACGCGGCCTTGGGCAGTTCAGAGCACCAGGAGCTCACCAACTGAGCTAACCGGCCGCCTGACGAGAAAGAGGACTCTTTCATGCACAAGACCATGTAACAAATTTTTGGCTTTGTTTTGTAATCTAGTGTATTTACACTGATTTTTTAAAGGAGAAATTATGTTTCCCCATTATGAAGTAACACATTATCAGAAAAAAATAAGTATAATCTCCAGTATGATATTAAGTCAATAAATCTGGAAATTTAGTTCCAGTGACTGCCTAGGTAATGGAAAAGGAAAAGGGAACACATAGTCAAAACTTCCTGTCATTATCAAAATTACCTTCTGGTAGGTGACTCTTAAAGTAGGAAATGACTTCATAGAGAAAAGATAAATCCGAATATTTTCTGAAAAACAGTATCATTTTATTTATGCACAGGTTTGGTGCATTTGGTCAGAGTAGTGTGGAGTTAACAGTTTTGCATATAAAATAATTCTGACCTCTTCTGAAATGCTTATCTGTTTCTTTGAGCAAATACTTTAACCTGTCCTAGCCTCAGATTTAAATCTACAAAACATAATAAGATTATTTTGAGATTTAAGAAAAATAATATATGTAGGTGCCTATCACAGAAGTAACAACGTGCTAAGCCAGTGAGTACTAAATGTCTGTGTACTAGATTTTACCCTCTGAAAAACTGATCCTTCACATCCTTTCCAGATCTATGGAATAATAAAATGGAGACAGATTTTTAAAACATCTTTCTAGGAAATCTGATGCAAAATAATACTTTTAAATGCCTGCAGTGTGCATCAAACTTTTTTCTTTTTTTTTATTGCATTTTAGGTTTTGGGGTACATGTGAAGAACGTGCAAGATTGTTGCATAGGTACACACGTGGCAGTGTGATTTGCTGCCTTTCTCCCCATCACCTATATCTGGCATTTCTCCCCATGCTCTCTCTCCCCAACTCCACACCCTCCACTGTCCCTCCCCTATTTTCCCCCAACAGACCCCAGTGTGTAGTGCTCCCCTCCCTGCATCCATGTGTTCTCATTGTTCAACACCTGCCTATGAGTGAGAACATGCAGCGTTTGATTTTCTGCTCTTGTGTCAGTTTGCTGAGAATGATAGTTACCAGGTTCATCCATGTCCCTACAAAGGACACGAACACATCAAAGTTTTTAAAATTTAGCTTCATCCATTCTCTCTAGAGATACTGATTTCTATTTTGATTACTTTGAACTACTATTCAGATTTGCTTGTAAAGTGAAGTATTCTTTTTTCATATCCCATAGTCATGCAAATCATTTTTTGTTAAATAGAAGACAGGATATTTTCTCTGGAGTTTACAAGACTGATGATGACCATGTCTATTTCTGTTTATCTAATTTTATTGTGAGAGGCAGCCCATCAATTTATTATTTCTGGTGCTGGAGTAGGGGGTTGGGTTTCCATCTTCTGCATGCTCTGTGATTCAGTTTTCACAAGCATAGATAAACATTTTTTTTTAATTCTACAAACCTCAAAGTTTTCTGTGAGTATCAAATGTAATCATGTAAAGTATAGAAAATTGGCTAAGAAGATACATTTGGAGTCAAAATGTCTTGAACCAGAACATTTATTTTATATTTCATCTCCAATTTTTACTAGCTCTGTGTCCTTGGCCAAGTAACAAACATTTTCCAAGCTGTGATTCCTTAATCTGTAAGAAGAAAGGTGAGCATTGTTGTTTCATCATAGACTTGTTGAGAAAATTAAATGGATTAATGTATGCAAAGAGCACAGAAGAGTTATGGACAGTAGGAGCTTATTTTCACTATTGTTATATTATGTGTGTATACAGGTAAAACTAAATAACAATCTAACATTTTATAATTTTAGATGGTAGTGAATGCTTTAATTTATAATTAAGTGTAGTTTTGCATAATGGCTTTGATAATAGATTTATAAATTTGGGGAAAAACACAAAAAGACAATCTCAAATGTAGCAATATATCCACATGCTTAGAAAGA